CGAACGTACCTGACAACATTGGTGGTGCACAGCACGTTCGATAATCTTAGCTGTTGCTGGCACAGTGGATGTCGGTCAAGGAGGTTTGCACAGGGGCGTGTTCCCATGCGGCTGGTTTTGTGGAGAGCTGTACAGGGGCGTGTTCCCATGCGGCTGGTTTTGTGGAGGACTGTACAGGGGCGTGTTCCCATGCGGCTGGTTTTGTGGAGGACTGTGCAGGGGCGTGTTCCCATTCGGCTGGTTTTGTGGAGGACTGTACAGGGGCGTGTTCCCATTCGGCTGGTTTTCTGGAGGACTGTACAGGGGCGTGTTCCCATGCGGCTGGTTTTGTGGAGGACTGTGCAGGGGCGTGTTCCCGCGCACTTGACACCCTGCTGTCAATGTTTGATGATGTCAAGGAATGAGCAGCCCACGCCGCCAAAACAGTAAATAAAGGCTTTATGCAAGCATTTTCTAAACTACACGCCCTTGCCCGACTCGTCGCTGACATGCACCAGAGTGGCAGAATCACACCTGGCTTTGATACCTGCACGGACGGCAGTCGTAGGGCTTACATTCACAAAGTACTCATGAATGGCGTCTGGAGGAGGGTCGGGCTGGCACCGTCATTGCATACCCTCGCTCCCAATAACGGGCTTATTACACCACCACATGCCGACGCACACCAGTATCTTTATTTGAAAGTTGGAAGCTTAGATTGGAAGGCCCCAGCCTTGACCGAAGAAGGTAATGGGTCTCCTAGTGATCTACCCACGGGGCCCCTTGCTCGGGAAAGCTGAGGTGTCGCTGCTCATTGGTGTTTAACCCATGGGCCCCCTCAATGCACGAGGGCCCGTTGGCATGGCTGGATAAAAAAGAAGAGAATCGGGCTCCTCGAAATAAACTTATTGTTGTTTGGGAGAAAGTGGTCTTTTTACTGACGGTCCTTCATGATGCCCCGTGCCCCCCCCCCCCCTTGCCAAGACTGGCTGCGCCCACGCCATTGGCATCGTTCTGAGACTACGGATCAGTCTCGTGGGGCAACACAGCTAGATGGCTGCTTGTTCTGAGACTGCGGATCAGTCTCGTGGAGCAACGCAGCTAGATGGCTGCTTGTTCTGAGACTGCGGATCAGTCTCGTGGGGCAACACAGCTAGATGGCTGCTTGTTCTGAGACTGCGGATCAGTCTCGTGGAGCAACACAGCTAGATGGCTGCTTGTTCTGGGACTGCGGATCAGTCTCGTGGAGCAACGCAGCTAGATGGCTGCTTGTTCGGAGTCTACGGATCAGTCGCGTGGAGCAACGCAGGTAGATGGCTGCTCGTTGGGAGAAGCATCCCCAGAACATCGTAGACGGTTATCGCTTGAGTTCATTTACGAAACTGGTAGTCACTGTATGACAAAGTTGGTAAAATTGGATGGGAATGCCAGTGCGCATGATAGCAAAATAAGGTGCCTTGTATCCGGACGGAATCGGTTCTAAGTGCAGCTTACTTATTCGTTTACATTGTCCCCCAACCCAGACGAAATAGACTTGTTGCACATTTGGGTGTAGGGTGAGAATACAACACTCGCTGGAATGTCAAGGAATTCGAGAGCGGTCAGAAAAGGCCGTAGCGATCTGGATACTGCCAAGGACGTTCAAAGGGAGTTCAAAGATCAAAGAGATACCCAAGTTGAATGAAGAGTAAAGTTTTTTTGGTAAACATTACGATAAACTGATCGGCAACGAGTCAATAATTGAGCATAGTCAACCTGCCCATTCTGAGCCCGTCGCTGACCTGTGGCAGGCAGTCCGTCCTGATTTAATATTTCAAAAACTAGAAGTTAATGTGGGCCTGATGACACGAGCCGAATCCGTCGGCGGGAGGCAGTGTGCGACGCCAGAGATCAGGCGGGAGGCAGTGTGCGACGCCAGAGATCAGGCGGGAGGCAGTGTGCCACGCCAGAGATCAGGCGGGGGGCAGCGTGCCACGCCAGAGATCAGGCGGGAGGCAGTGTGCCACGCCAGAGATCAGGCGAGAGGCAGTGTGCCACGCCAGAGATCAGGCTGCGTGCGACGCCAGAGACCACCCCAGCAGACCAGGTGCCCCGGCCCTCAGCTGCATTCGCCAATAATCCGCTGAAGGCTGTTGGGGTACCCAGCATGCCAGCAGGCTGGGTACCTCGGCATTTGGTCAAGGTTGACAATCTGTGTTCCGATCTTCCAGCTGATTTTATCAAAGGTCCAGGTGTGGTAAGATACAAGGCTGATGGCTTGTTGATGACGCTACTCGTGTCTGAGAGCGGTGAAAACAGTGGGAAGTCTTTTGCAGACACAGGCACAGATATAAATACGCACAAAAATAAACAAGTGCGGACACAGCTTCCTCTAACAGAGGAAAAGTTGTGGCTAAGAAGGGCATCGCCAACTGATCAGTTTTCCTAGCTGTTGAAAGGTCACGGACAAGACTAAGCCGATCAGAGCTCATGACGAACATCAGCAGCCGGGCCCCGTCTGCTGCGCTGGCAGCAGACCGGACAGATCACGACTGGATGGATCACGACCAGGCGGATCACCACCGGACGGATCACGGCCGGCCGTTGGCCGTGGGATAGGTGCCGTTAGGGGTCATATCCTGGTCGCCTGGGAGGTTAGTGGGGTTCTCGTCTCCTCGCTACCCCCATTCCTCGCCCACTCCGCCGCCGTTCCCCTGTAAGTTCGCAGGTTACGCTACGTATATTTGGCTTTTTTCATCTCCCATCCCCTGGTTAGCCATTGATTACGCTGGGGAATAGCCCGTTGCCTCGCAGCGATATATTAAAGGGAGCATCCCACCTTTTTGCACATTTCATTCATTGCTACATTAGACGCATACGAGTTGATCAATAACACCAGGGTTTTTCCGAAATCATTCTGAGTGGGTCGGGATTTCTATCTGAAGTAACCAACCCTGCGAGAGAAATGTCATTTGACTTTCTGTTCACCAATGTGAAAGTAAAGCAATTTATTTCCCTTTTTCCAACTGGTGTGTTCTGTGATGTCTACAACACACTAATGAGTTAAATGTGCGCAATAACTGCTATGAAAGCTTGAAACACTCTGTCTCTGCAAAAAGATGTACGGATATGAAGCTTTTATCCGCGAGTTCAGCGACTCGTTATACTGTGGATCTGATTTCTCCTTATGGCGTTTACTACAGCGGCTCTTTTCGAGGCGCACTTTGGATTTGGGAACGGGAGTATCACATGATTCATGTGGTGCACTGGTTCAACCTTTAACCAATCAGGCCCTCAGTAACATGCTCTTGCCCGTTTGGTAAATCACAAACCTTTTATTGCCACCAGTAAAGGTGCCAAGTGCGCACGGTTATTCTGACGACGACGGTGGTCGCGAATGCAGCAAAGAAGCGTAGGTTACAAAGCATTCGCAGCATAATTTGGGCTCGAAAGTAATTAAAGTAACTTAAGAATTGCATCTTTATTATATATTGGCGATGCTGCAGTGTCACTACCCAGTGCTCTTATAACACGCAACTAGTCGTGAGATTTCACGAGAGTATGCTTTTTAAATATGCCCCATAAGGTAGGACACTCTTTAAGCATGTCCGGAAAATGCATCGTCTATTTGTCCAAGCGCTGTTAGGCGCTCGCTATTTGTTATTGACAGGTATAGGGTGCGGCCGGTGGCAACGGTCGCGCTAAAGGTCAGCTGACGTCAGGGGGCAGGACGGACTGTGCCGAGCATTGCGGCACGTTAAACTTTCGCCACTAAATTCTACCGTTGCCTGGAATTGCGCGATCAGATGGCAGGGGTCAGGGCTCACACAACAAGCACTGCTTAGCTTGAGCACCGATCCTAGAAATCCATCCACTCAAAGTGTTCGGATCAAATTTCCAAAAAAATCAAAATTGAAAAAACATTATCTCCCGTTATTGAGCTAGAGGTGTGGTGAGGTGGCACACGGTATCCGTCTGTAAGAGTGTAAAATTTGTTTGTGAGGAATTTTGGAATGATTTTCAACCTCATCTGAGAGTATTGTCACGCTGCCCTACCCCTTGTTATTTTTGCTCACGCAACATCTTCTTCCCTTCCCTCCCCATAACCCACGTGTAACGTAATTTATACGAATTTATATTTATACGGCCCCTAACCTCCGCGAGATGGTGAGGGATTTGATTTTGACCAGGCGGGTTGCCGAGGGCTCATCCAGAGGGAGCAACCGGATGGAGCGCTCGGAAGGTGCATCCCGAAGGGGCACCCGGAGCGCGCACCGGAAGGAACGCTCGGAAGGGAGTGCCCGGATGGAGCTCTCAGAAGGGGCATCCCGAAGGGGCACCTGGAGCGCGCGCCCGAAAGGGGCGCTCGGAAGAAGCATTCCGAAGGGGCACCTGGAGCGCGCGACCGGAAGGAGCGCTCAGAAGGGACGTCCGGAGGAAGCGCCCGGAGGAGGCGCCCGGAAGAGGCAACTGGAGGGGGCGCCTGGAGGGAGCGCCCGAAGGAGGCGCCGGGAAGGAGAACCCGGAGGGGCGCCCGGAAGGCGAGGGGGTGAAGGCGGGTGTATCGAGGGGCCGGCGGCGCGCTCACGACGGTCATCATGGAATCTGACATGTCGGGAGTACTTTTCCCGGGGAAACAATCAGCTGACTGAAGGTGCGATACTTAAAGACACACCTGCTTTGCACTGTTGTCTTTCTTGCTGAAAGGGAAATGCTAGTTTGGCATGACCTTCGGAGCACGTTAGCTTATGTTAGGAGCACTGGTGCGGGGTGAATAAGTGTGCATGACAGCATGGCACTCGGGAGTGGCATGGCATTCCGCTCACTTCGTTACGCAACACCGCTGCCTGCTCTCTATTTATTAAGACTTCATTCATGCGCATCGGGCGCCAGCCGGTGCCGTCATTGTTGTCCTGCGGCCGTCTGTGTGAGCGAGTGAGTGATGGCCGGTCGGTGATGCCAGGAGCAGATGCGTCTGCGCAGTCTCCACGGCGGCGGCGCCCCTCCGACGAGGTCTAAATCGACGCCAGTCGCCGGTCCCGCGCCGCCGACGACGCACCCGACGCCCGCCACCATGTCGCAGTGGGACGAGTCTCTGGTGAGGGAGCAGGTGCGCAGCGACCGCGGCGCGTCCAACCTCGCCTTCAACGAGAAGGTGAGCTGACCGAGGCGCGGTGGGACTGGTGGAGTGGATGGTCAAGGGAGTGCAGGCCGCGTGTGCGACGCGGATATCGTGGTGCCCGGGCTGTCGGCTCGTCCTAAGTGCCATGGTGACTAGTTGTTGACACCTTGGACTTGCTTGGATTCATGTGCACGCATTGAACACACCATGAGCACTGTATTTACTTGCGCACTGTTCGCAAGCTACGTTCATTGTTCTCACCACGTCAGTTGTACATGTCGCTCGAGGTTGGGAAGCTAGCGATGGGTACTTGTATGTTATCTTTTATCTTGTGATCCGTACTGAATAATAAAATAAAATTGACAGCATTTCTCATTCATGTAGCTCCGACGATTCGGAGAAGTTAGTCCGGTCTGGTCCAGTCCTGTCCAATCCAGCCCAGGCCAGCCCAGTCCTGTCCAGTCCAGCCCAGCCAAACCCAGCCCAGCCTAGCCCGGTCCTGTCCAGTGCAGTCCAGCCGAGTCCAGCGCAGCCCAGCGCAGCCTAGCCCAGCCCAGCCTAGCCCAGCCCAGCCCAGCCCAGCTCAGCCCAGCCCAGTTCAGTTCAGCCAAATGCAGTTCAGTCCATTCTAATCTAGTTCAACTCAGCCCGGCCCAACCCAGTTCAGTTCAGCCAAATGCGGTTCAGTCCATTGTAATCCAGTTCAACTCAGCCCAGCCCAGCCCAGTTCAGTTCAGCCAAATGCAGTTCAGTCCATTCTAATCCAGCCCAGCCCAGCCCAGTCCAGTCCAGTTCAGTTCAGTTCCAGGTAGGCCAGGCGCCCTAGGCATGTGTGGTTTACATGCGACTGCCCGTCTGTGGGTCAGAGGCGGCCGTCTGCAGAGGCCACCGAGCAGGTGGCCACTCGCCTGATGTCTACACGTCACCACCCGTCTGTAGGCCGGAGATGATCACCTGCCTCTAGACCACGGGCGGCCACGTGCCCCTAGACCACATGCGACCACGTACCTTCAGACCGCACTTGACCGCCTGTCTCTAAACCCCACGCAATCGGCTGCTTCTAGACCACATGCGACCGCATACATCTAGACCTCATGTGGCTACCTCCCTCTAGACCACATGAGACCGCCTGCCTCTATAACATGCATGGCCAGTTGCCTCTAGACCACACGTGACCACCGTCCTCCAGATCGCCTTCCTGCTGAATGCAGCTGAAAGTGCGTCTCTGGTCCGCGGGTGAAGCAGCCGCAGCTGAGTGTGTGTTTCTGGTCGGCAGGTTAAGCGGCTGCAGTAGAGTGTGTATCTCTGGTAGATCGGTGAAGCAGCTGCAGCTGAGTGTGTGCCTCTGATCGGCAGGTGAAGCAGCCGCAGCTGAGTGTGTGCCTCTGATCGGCAGGTGAAGCAGCTGCAGCGGAGTGTGTGTCTCTGATCGGCAGGTGAAGCAGCTGCAGCTGCGTGCGTGTTTCTGGTCGGCAGGTGAAGCAGCTGCAGCGGAGTGTGTGTCTCTGATCGGCAGGTGAAGCAGCTGCAGCGGAGTGTGGGTCTCTGGTCGGTCGGTGAAGCAGCTGCAGCTGTGTGCGTGTCTCTGGTCGGTCGGTGAAGCAGCTGCAGCTGCGTGTGTGTCTCTGATCGGCAGGTGAAGCAGCTGCAGCTGCGTGCGTGTTTCCGGTCGGCAGATGAAGCAGCCGCAGCGGAGTGTGTGTCTCTGATCCGCAGGTTAAACAGCTGCAGCTGAGTGTGTGCTTCTGATCGGCAGGTGAAGCAGCTGCAGCTGAGTGTGTGCCTCTGATCGGCAGGTGAAGCAGCTGCAGCGAAGTGGGCGCGACATCAGCCACTTCGCGTTCGGCCAGGCGCCGTTCCCTGTGCCGACCTGCGCCGTCACCGCTCTGAGAGAACACGCCGCCGAGCACGCTTACCTACCGGTGGCCGGTGAGCGGGAGGGCAAGGCATGCTGGCTGCCCTGTGGCTAGGGGGGGGGGGGGGATGGCTAAGCAGCACTGCCTCCCCGTGAGTGGTGAGGGAATCTGTTATCTGCTATCGGCGTATCTGTTGGTGGGTGGTGAGCAGAGGGCGTGGGCCGCCTGTGCGGATGTCCTGCCAGATCAACGCATCCAAGCCGGGCCCGAGCATGCCCATCTATCTGAGACAGTTGAGAGAAACACGCATAGCTGCCAGCACTCATTTTTATGGTACTCGCAAGCAGACATCAAGCGTACGCATTTTCAGGCATTCCAGAGCTGCGGCAAGCCATCTGTGGTCTGCACAAGAGATATGATGATATTGACCTGGACCCCGCCAGAGTTTTGGTGGGTCCCGGCTCCAAGGAGCTGATTTATCTCACCATGAACGTCTTCAGTGGAGGTCAGTCGCCTGTGGCATTGTTTGTTTACACATCCATTACGGCCACGTGTCTCAAGACATTAGCTCATTTCGAATGGGGTGCATATGGTGCCCGTTACTGCCTTGCATATTTGCGATGCAATAACGCGCATCTGGAGACAGCGGTTTTTGCTTCGCCGCGGTATGCTATGAGTTACACAGAACAGTCAACTGAGGTATCTGCGCGATCGTCACAAAAGCCTCGCAACTAGGCCTACCGGGTGCGGGAGCTGAAACCTCAGAACGGCATTCCACGATGGTTTGCGGTCCAGTTTGCGATTTCCGGGTGGAAATCCGTTCTGAGCCAGTACGTGAATATTGAATATTAATTTTACCCCCCTGCACAGCGTTAAGACGAATTTGATCGACCCTCACGATGACCTACTCATCCTCCGCCCTTTGTCTGCTTCCTAGCATTGCCTCTGGCTGTCTGGCGGCGTTCCTCAATGACTCGTCGGATTATTCGGAAAATCCTTGTCACCGACTGCTTGCTACCCACAGACATTTTACTCGTGGCACCCGCCTGGACCACGTATGAGCCGCAGAGCCGCCTAGCGGGACATCAGGCAACTATTCTGCGTACGCACGCTGAGAGCCATTACAAGCTGACGCCAGCGGATCTGGATAACCTGTTCAGCTCACGAAACCTGAAGCCGCACAGAATGCTCGTGCTCACCAACCCAGGAAATCCCAGTGAGTAGGAGAGTGCCGCCCAGCAAAACGCCAAGTCTACCAACAGCAGTTGCGGGCTCAGTTGGGGGCCGTTCATACAGGGGTGTAATTGCCGAATGGTTAATACCTTTGGCTCCTACGATGGGGCCCGGGTTCGAATCTTGGTTGTGAAATGATCCGCGAGCGCCCATATGGCCACTGCAGTCGCTGGCGCTCCAAAAAAAGATCGTGCGACGAGCGCCCGGCTTCTTTTTTATGAAAGTGGCAGTTCATAAATTACGTTCCGCAAAAAGCGGGTGGAGTGAAAGGTAACATAGGCGTAACAAGGGTTACGGAGGGCATATACAGCGTAACGTCACGCTCAGGTGTGGTTGTTAACTTTGTGCTAAGAAGTTTAAAGGTAATTTATGACCGTTTACGCAGGATGCCGTAGGCTTCTTGTCATGATGAGCAGCACACCGTATGTTTTGTTTTCGCGCTTCTAGGTCAATTTGGGGCGTCACCTTTTTTGGGATGTTATGCTGAGCACAACATAACAAGGGCGGGGAGTTGATTTCACCTAGCATAACCAGTGCTTAATTAAAGGGAGCTGTAAAACGGCGTGGAAATGGGTGACGTAATGAACGGTATTTAATTTTCAGTTGCGTAAGGTTGATTATGGACGGACCCCTTTACAATGTCGCATGGTAGATCTTCGTAGACGTTTGGACTGGTATGCGACGCAACACATGCATTTTGAACTACGGCCTGTTCGCACCGACTTCCGGAGTTTTCCAAAAGTGTTAAGAACCTCCGCAATGCAGTGTGCCAAGCCTAAATGAGACCAGATTTTGCCATGGACGCAGCTCCCACTGCGATGTCTGTTTGTCATGGAGGCAGCTCTCACTGCGATGTCTGTTTTTCATGGAGGCAGCTCCCACTGCGATGTCTGTTTGTCATGGAGGCAGCTCCCACTGCGATGTCTGTTTGCCATGGAGGCAGCTCTCACTGCGATGTCTGTTTGTCATGGAGGCAGCTCTCACTGCGATGTCTGTTTGTCATGGAGGCAGCTCCCACTGCGATGTCTGTTTGTCATGGAGGCAGCTCTCACTGCGATGTCTGTTTGTCATGGAGGCAGCTCCCACTGCGATGTCTGTTTGTCATGGAGGTAGCTCCCACTGCGATGTCTGTTTGTCACGGAGGCAGCTCCCACTGCGATGTCTGTTTGTCATGGAGGTAGCTCCCACTGCGATGTCTGTTTGTCATGGAGGTAGCTCCCACTGCGATGTCTGTTTGTCATGGAGGTAGCTACCACTGCGATGTCTGTTTGTCATGGAGGTAGCTCCCACTGCGATGTCTGTTTGTCGAAAACCAGCCCCTCCTCACCGTGACCATTACTATTGAAACAAACGCTTCGTTCCCAGCGGGAACGGTGTACACGGAGCAAGAGCTGGCTGCACTGAGGTAAGCTTCACTAAACATTTACCGTGCTTGCTCTGATTTTCTTGTCGGGCAGTCTGTGTCAAGCGCTAGTCTTGCGACGTAATTGGGTGCTGCGGCCTGATAGACGGTCCCAGGCCCACTTCGGGTGAATGTGGAGTAACACTTCCAGTTAGTAATTCTTCGTTCATGGGTCTGGGCCCAGAGCAGCTCCGGCCTATAGCCTATGCGGTCACACGGTCTCATTGGCACGAACAGCGCAAAATGGAGGATGTCCCCAAGCTCTTCAAGGCAAGGTGTAGCGCCATTTTTGGTTGAAAAAACATGTTTTTAACGCATGACTTCTGCTGGTCCCGTTCTGATACACGTAAGATGTACTGATGTCACATGTGGAGCTTAACGTTTACTCTGGGCTGCAACAAGACATCCCCAACGAGCGCATATGTACCCCGGTGTTGTCGGTGTGTATTCAACAATTGACATGAATAGTGAATTGTTGTCCATAAAATTTACCAGGCCTGATGCGGCATGAATTCTTATCAGAACTTTACCTAATTAGGGCTGGTTGGAGTCATTGTGCGTCCCGGTAGCTCAGTTGGTCAGAGCGTCTGCTTTCCGATCCACCCACCAGTGGCGGGGTGGGTTTCAGTCGAGTTAGGCGCTCGCTGTTTGGCCTTGACAGGCATGGCCTGCGACCGGTGGCAGCGGCCGCGCTAAAGGTCAGGTAGCGTCAGAAGGCAGGACGGACCGAGCCGAGTGTTGAGGCACGTTAAACTTTCGGCTCCCAATTCTGCCGTTGACATGATATTTCACGATCGGGTGGTATGGGTCAGGGTTCACATAACAAGCACTGCTGAGCGCGAGCTCTGATCCCAGAAATTCACCGATTCAAATGGGTTGGACTAAATCTTTAAAAAATGCTATTTGGCAGCATATGTCATTTGTTTTAATCAAATACGTTTGAAATAGGACGCATAAATGTTTTATTTCATAAAAGGTGTGTATTTTCGTAAAAGCAGGGTGATCCCAAATGCACATCTGGCCGCTGTCACGAATGTGTGACTCACTCCAGGACATTCCTGAAAGTTTACATTTGACCTACATGGAAATCACGTGGACTGTAGTCCACGTTATTTGCCTGTGGGTCAAATGCGTTCATCGACACTTCTAATGTCATCAGATGGAACAACTTCAGCTAGGAAAAGGTAAACAGTCAATCCTAAATAGTTTGCATTCGCAGCAGCATACGATCGGATGCTCCTGTGGTGGCAGATGAAACACATTCGTCATCCCCACTACCAATCGACGAAGCTCTAAGTCAAGAATAGAGAAGGGCCTAGTACACAATGCACAAGCTTTCAGGTCGAGGACAGACACTCATTCTCTTCTGAGCAAAGAGTACACGCACCCGGGTGGCCGGTTGAATACCTTTCTCTCGGGGATCAATTTCACCCCCTGAGATCTCAAAAGCTAAGATAGCTAGAGGCATCAAATGTACAGGGTAGATTGGCCTGCATATGAACTCAGTGGCGTCGAAATTTGGAGTTTCTAGCTTATGACTTTGGTGTTGAATAAGGTCAAACAAAGTCAGACTTAAGATTGGCGTTTCAAGTGTCCCAGACCCCTCCCCCCCCCCCCATGCAACCGCTGTGGAGCTAGATGTTTGTTCTAAGCAAAATTTTAATGAGTTCAGTGACCTTTTTGATCTTTAGTAGGTCGAGTGACCAAATACCAACGAGATCGCTCCTATTTTGTTATTCGAATAAGCGTTAGTGGTTAGATTAGGCAGTATGCTCCTAAAAACAAATGTTGATCTGGTTTATTTTATGTTAGTGACATACTTTGACTTTCAAAAAGTCCATGGAGCATATTTGTTGCGCTTCTTGTCATTAATAGATTATAAATGAGCACTAGAAACTTCCCTATAAAACCAAGCTCCCAAGTAAAACAGCACGTCAGTTTTGATTTTGTTGTGATTTTCATGCATGCTCCTAGATCGATGGAATGGTTTTACGTCTAAATTCGACTGGTTTATTCACAAAAAACTATCTCAGGTATGTATGGCTTGGTCTAACACTCCGTTGTGGCATCACCTTGAACGATTTCCTAGAAATGCCCTCCACTGACTGCCATGGCCTGACGTTGACCTGCCATTGGTCAGCGATCTTACAAGGTGCATCTAATTTTTTACACCAAAAATGCGCTATTCAGTTCTCTGCAGCTATGAAAAGTTTGGCACAGCAACGCCGCGTCCAACTATTGGGTGTCAAAGGGCGATATAGAAAAGATAGACTTTTGTCGTTTTTCATTCCTCTAGGACCTTCGTTTTGGTTGATATGAGCCTTGCATGTGGCGTTAGGTGCAAACAGCACGAACACAAGGCCTCCGAAAACACGCAAATCTCCGCTTGTGCTCCAACGCTGACCAGCTGATTTTCTCGAAGCCTTGCTAAGTAGGCGGACAGCAAGGCTACAACTCAAATGCCTACATCTCTCCAAGTAATTACAGCAAACCACATGGAAAATAGCAGAATCAAGTTTCTTGAAATATTTACGAATTTAAAGTTGGGTGTCATCTCATCAGCTGCCCTGAAATCAGCAATTGGGGGTTATCGTCTCGTCTGCAAAGACTGTAATCTGCCAGCAAATCGAGCAGTACGACCTCCTTCGAATTCAGGAGGGTCAATTTGACACCCTGACATCTCAGGAACTAAGGAGAAAGCTAGAGATACTAAATCCACAGGGTGTATAAGCTTTTACGTGATCTCACTTAGGTCAAGTTTTGAGGTTACTAGGTCATGATCTCCGAGTCAAATAGGGTCAAACAAGGTTAAACTCCAGGGTGGTCTCCAAAGTGTTTCCAGAACCTAGCTGCCTGGTTTAAGCAAAAGATTACATTATTATTTAAGGTCAGTGACTTTGTTTGACCTTTCGAAGGTCATGGTGACCAAAATTATCTAAGACCGCTTCGAGTTTTGCACTTGAATAAGCAACAAAGATCACGCTAGGCATTATGTTCCCAAAAACGAAATGTTGGCCTGGGTCATTTCAGGTCAGTGATCTATTTTGACCTTTAAGAAATCCATGGAAGATGTCCAGTGTGGCTCCTGTTATCAACAGATTCGGAATGAGCACCAGAAACTATCCCATGTAACGGGCCCTAGGGAAATAAAACAGCTTGGTTTCGACGTTGGTGTAACCTTCATGCCTGACCCTAGGTCAATGTAATTGTTCATTTGATTATTGTGTTACCTAAGAAAGTATCTCAGAGATGTATAGCGTCGTCTAAAGCTCCGCTGTTCCACCAGATTCAACGATTCCCTAGAAATTGACTTCGCTGAATCCTTGGCTTGATTTTGACCTGCCATAGGTCAGCGATCTTATAAGGTACGCCTATTTTTTATATCATACGATTCACCATTCAATTACCCACAGCTACTCAAAATTTGGCGTGGGTGCACCACGCCGTTCGGAATCCATTCCGGAAAAACCCTCGAGGGGTCAACTGGACCCCCACCTGAGCGCGTGTTAATCGGAGATACATTGCTCAGGACCTGTCAAACATAGAGGAAGATGGCTGTGTCCTGCATTCAAATAATTTTTAAAAGGTTTTAAACCGTTGCAGGCATCTAAATCATTAATCATCTTAATCATTGCTTGTGCCTACAAATTAAGGTACGAAGAAGATGCAAATATAGAGGAAAAAAGTTTAAAGCTACATCGGAAATGGGATAAATTTAAGCTAGATTTGACTATAATTTGTAAATGGCAAGATGCTATGATACCATGAATGTGTTAATGGTGCGATAATGTAGCTATTTTACCACATAACTGCGCTTACAACGGTCGTTTCGACGCTTGCCCGGGTTTAGCATTTACTTCCATGCAGCTAGGTGGCAGTACCGGCAGCAGAGTCATCTGTTTTCGTAATGTTAAGGCGTCAATGTGAACCTCGCGGTCCCTGCTCCTTGAGTCTCCCGGGCATACACCGGGCCCCTTGTCTGTCCTTGGGTGGATCTAAGACCGCTCTGGGCCCCGTGACGTCTCAGAGATCCTCTAACCACTGCCTGGCCACCTTAAACGTCTCGGAACTTCGCCAGCCCGTTGAGCTAACAGAATGTCTTATGACTTTGGGCGCGAATGCTTTCAGGTTGTCCGGGCCTGTGTGAGCGAATGATGGATTTCGGACCATACCAGCAACAATTTGCGTTTGTTAATAAGTTTTTGTTTTGGACCCGGGCGATTTTGTGCCCTTTTACGTTGTGAAGCCTGTGATCGTTTCAGCCTCTTCAACTTTATTCAGGCCTTTTTGACACTCATTAAGTTTATGCGCCTCAAATGTTCTCGGAGCTTATGCTTGTTGGGGTTCCAAACTTCTTGTAACATGGAAGGGTGTTGGTGCTGAGAAGTTCCGGCGCCCTGTACCTTAAGAGTGGGGAAAAGCCATCCTATAGTTCTGATCACTCGATTGACGAGATCACCGATAGCGTTCAAAGCGATTGGAGCAGATACGCTGTACATCTTTTGTCATAAATCACTCCTCGTTATCCAAAACATTTTTATTGCCATTATGATTTCTAGGCATTAAACGTGGAACTCTAAAGTAGTACAAGAAAGAGGGGGGGGGGGGGGGGCATCACATGATAAGCCTCCCTCCCAACGAGAACCTCGGTGTAAGTTAAACCGTGGTCACATTTTTTGCACTGAGATGGAAGACCTTACTCGCCTTTGCTGCGAAGAGTAGGTAAATGCCTTCATTTTTAGCTTTTGATCGTATCAATACTGTCCTAATTCTATCTCCGCTTTATGTTTGATTATTGTAGCATTTGCTACGTTTTGTAGCGCAATATTTGTGATTTTGTCGCATAGCGCGATCTCAGACGTTGACCACCTCGTTTGAGGGCTGGATAATGGATGACAAGCCTCGCTATCAGCGAGAAGTTCGCTCCAAGGGATCCACGCTTGCTTTTTCTTCATTGAAATTCCGAAAATATGCATGCTATTTCTGCGCGATCGACAGCTGCCTCCTGTTCATGCGATGGACGTTTTACACGGTCGCCGCGACTTTTAAGCTCCACTTCTGCCTCATGATCAGCTTGCAGACACATATCTTCATCGATAGAATGTTTTCGTTTTTTCACGCATTGTTGGACTTCAAAATTATAGAATATATATATATATATATATATATATATATATATATATATATGTATATCTATACATATATATATATGTATGTATATATATATACATATATATATATATATATATATATATATATATATATATATGGGAAATGGTATTCGAATACTGTCCATTTGATAACAAGACTCCTTTCAGCAAAAAGCTCGACGAAATTCATACCCCTTTTTCCAGTGTGAAAGTCTAGCTTTTTGTAGCGCATTCGACACCACCCGTGCAGAGTTGCGTAGTCAGGATTTCATCAAGAGGGTGCCAAATCGAATCATAGGGGCCCATCCGGGCAGCAGAGTCCTCGTCGGCGTGAAGGGGCGCTGATTTTGATTCGGGGGCGTTCTTATGCTGGGGATCGTTTAGTGATGGCTTGGGGACCAGTTTTTTGTGTTTTGCACTACGGATGTTTTAAACTAAAGTGCCTGTAAAAACTTAAACATAAAGTACCTGCAAAGCGTAAAAAGTGTAAGGACTTTGGTCCAAGGGAAAGCTGGCGGGATTCCTCTGGGATGGACGTGAGGAAGGGAGCATGGCTTCCATAGCTGCCTCTCACCTTAATCGTGAAATTCATATCCTCGCCCCTCCCCCCCCCCCCATATTCCGAATCATGCCACTACCTGCCGGTTCCCTTTCCATCCTCAATGCCAAAGATGTAGTTCCGTCCCTGAGTGATGCTGATGCTCTTGCGGTGTGGGAAGTCATATTCTTTTATGGATGATCAACGGCGACTTTGATACGTTGTCTAGCGGTTACCGATAATTTTACGCCTGTCGTAGCGATCACCAAACATCTTTGTGTGGAACGTTGATAGGGAAACCCGCATTCCGTCACGCCTCGTAAGTCTCCAGTAAACACCCTACCCAGATAGTGTCCCTGCACGGCGTGTCACTATCCACCTCACGTTCCGAGAAGGTCATGACCTTGATCGATGACGATTCGACTCGACCGTGGGAGTGTCTTCTGCGTGAGACGAGCCTGACGAGGCCTCTGTTGTTTTTTATACTGTTTTCATGCCCGTCTGGCACGCGTCAAAAGCAGGTGACGTCATCTGGAAGAATGTGCGTGTGCTCTACAATTTGAACACCATGGACGTGCTCGAGGGTGTTCAGGTTGGGATCCACGACGACCTGTACGTCGTAATGTAAGTCGTATCTAAGGCTTCAGTGGCAGCTTAAATCATCGTAAATAGTTGCGTGTACAAAGAGATGCAACCCACAAACCACTGGTACTCGACGACAACTACGGCAAAACATAAGTTATGCGCTGGGCATCCAAGCATTCAGCTGGAATGCACCGGCTCCTCTTCTCTAAAAGCACGCCCAGCGTGGCTGGACGGGAAATGGCAGAAGAAAGCAAGCCTATCCTGTCCACGGCCGCGATAGCTATTGCAAAGTATGAAGCAGTCAGTAAAGTTATTACGCGGTCAGATGGACGGCAGATAGGCGACACGTAGCCCCGGGCGTATCACAGGGCCACGTGTGTGTGTGTCTGGCGTCCGTAAGTCAATGGCCGGTGTGAGCAGACCACGACGAATCGAATCGTTTTGGAACCTGCAGCACCTGCAAAATGGAATGGTCGCTGTCGTCAGTTGAACTGGAGGAAACGGTTAAAATGGTCCGTTCACGCTGGTGTTGTATATTTTATCCGCGTCTCCTGCTGTTTTCGTATCGCCTCGTGTCCAATGTTGCGTGGAAAGTTTAAGATTGTCGTGATCCTCTTCAAACAGCCTTCAGAGAATACTCCCATATTGTTCATGAAGTCCGAGGAAGTCTTCCAAATCATGCAAATATGTACGGTTTCTGTTCCTGCGTAAATTTGAGTATGTGGAACTTAAGGTTCCTCTGCTATCACGGGCACAGCCGTAGTCTTGATAAGCAGGGGGCATCAGGAATGACGGATGGCCTTCTGCTGGTGAAAATTCCTCTCTATAAAAGTTGCTGGACTTGACACACTTGATTTTGACGGGCTCGATTTTCTTCGGCTTATTTGTTAAAGCTCTTTAGATGAAACAAAGGCCAGAAGCGACCGAAAGATGCAATTACGTATTTATTTAAAAGGCAATGAAATGAATTAATCAGGCAATAAATGACAATATCAAAGAAGCCACCGGTCCAATTTATTTATCAACGGCTCAGTGATTTATTTTGAAACAATAAAAATCAGTGGCTTTGCCGGAGATTTTCGGGGATCTGCAGAGTATTGAAGATCTAGTGGATTGAACGTATATTGTAGATGGAAATGGTGTTAGACTCTGCATTGACGTCGCGAGCCCATGTCCACCATGTGACTTTCCATACCTTGTATTCTATTAGTGAAAAACTATGTAATATAGTTTTGAGCATGCGCGCTCCCGAAACTTCATAAGCAAATACTCCGACGTCCGACGCCGCAGTCTCAATATGCTGCGTGTCGTCGGTTCTGAGGCCAGCAGCGGGCGGTGGTCGTCGGGTGAACGAAAACGATCACGTTTCAAAAAAGAATGTTTGTACGCTTTATGAAATCAGCTGTTACATTGGGAGTGTAGTCCGAGCCGTAAATCGCTCGGACTGCACTCCCAATTACCAATCCGAAAACCACTCAAGTGAGATTTACAGCTCGGACTACCCTCCAAACGTAGAAGTTGATTTTATAAAGCGTTTAAGCAATTCTTCTTTTGAAACGTGGTCGCTTTCGTTCCCTTTTTTTATCACCGCCTGCTGTTGGCCTCGGGATTGATGCCACGCAGCCTATGGGAGCTGCAACGCCGGACGTCGGACGCAAACGGCCATTGCCGTTGACGCGCCCTTAAAATCCAATGACTGAACAAACGCTGCCCATTCGGATGCCATTGGAGTGGTATACGCTACGTCGGTCCTCTCCCTGACGCGGGAGACCCTCTGATCGGGGCAGTTTGCCTTGGATCGCCCAGGGAGCCCCTCTTGACACAAAAGGATCCCTTACGGGGAAAATGGCTCCAATATTTTAGCAGAGGGATTCCGGTTTCGCTGATCGGATCTCTGGCTGAAATGGTTCCGCGTAGGGCCTCGGACAGAAAAAGAGCGCTACCATTGTCTCATTGAGATTTCGCATCGCAAGCTCTCACATCTCCCTCCATTGCCAAAGGGCCCCGACTAACGCAGGAGGCCTTCTACCATTCGGAGTCCCGTCCCTGTCCTTGTTCAGCAAATGTGCCCTCGACCGACTCGGGGCCCCTTGTCGACACAGGACCTCCCGTTAGACACTGTGGGCCCTTGACCGACACAGCGAATTTTCTCATTGTGTCAGAGGTTGTGAGCAAAGCAAATCGCTGGCCTAAGCCTTATCCTTGCTTGGGAAGTAGGCCCCCAAGGCTCAGACCAATACGGAGCTGAGTGTTCGGTGTTGGAGGCCTTAGGCTCGCATTATCACAGGGGCCTCCAGTTGTTACAAAAGGCATTCCGACTTACTTATGGGGATCCTTCATAGCTTAGTTCCAAGGAACTCCGGTCTTACGGGCCGGGGATCCCTAAAGCGACCTACGGCCCCGTCTCTCAGGCTGTTCGGGCCATCCGATCGTGTTCTTGATCGTCGGTCACAAAGGGCCCTTCAGGCCATACGGGACCTAAAAGGGAGGGGTATGTATCCTTTAGTGTGCCCTGCCTCCGCTTATAGATCCGTTCTTGGCCACTGGCAAATGTCGATCGCCTGGTAAAATAACCGGCCGACTGACAATCTCTCCAAACGTTGGTCCAAATCCTGATCAGACTCAATTGCAAACTTTCGATGCAACAATGACCTTTTTGCCGACCCCTAAGTTGGACGCGATGTGTTTCCGAGCTGCCCTGCTGTCCAGCTGTCAGCACGGTGGCTCTGTTCGATTTCAGCACGGCCTGCAGGCGCCACGGCGTGATCGTGCTCTGCGACGAGATCTACGGCCGACTCACCTTCGGCGGCGGCCACGTCAGCATGGCAAAGGTCCGTCTGACGTCACAGACGGCACGGCCGACCCGGACCTTACCTACCTGACCACCGGTCGGTCGGACCCGCAGGTCATCCCCTGTTCGGCGGCCGACTGGGACCTTGCCTGCCTGACCACCGGTCGGTCGGGCCCGCAGGTCGTCCCCTGTTCGGCGGCCGACTGGGACCTTGCATGGCCTGGCCGCCGGTCGGTCGGACCCGCAGGTCACCCCCTGTTCGGCGCCGACTGGGACTTTGCCTGCCTGACCACCGGTCGGTCGGGCCCGCAGGTCGTCCCCTGTTCGGCGGCCGACCCGGACCCTGCCTGCCTGACCACTGGTCGGTCGGGCCCGCAGGTCTGTTCGGCTGCTGACTCGGACCTTGCCTGCCCGACCACCGGTCGGTCGGGCCCGCAGGTCGTCCTCTGTTCGGCGGCCTCGAACCTTGCCTGCCTGACCACCGGTCGGTCGGGCCCGCAGGTCGTCCTCTGTTCGGCGGCCCGGGGTCCGTCTTCGGAGTTCGCGCTCCGGCTGAGCAGCATCTGCTCGCGGGATGTACACTTTGACGGCCAGTTGTAACAAACAGAGCTGTGTAGCTTTTTTCCAGGATTGTAAGTCACACCATTGGGCGTTTAACCCCGGTGTGTGCATCCCTTCGGTCGGATGTGACAAACAGGACTGATATCATTGGGATCAGAATTTCGAAGTCACATTTTCAGTGGAGCGTTCCAGATCATACTACGGTTGGTGACTTCGTTAATGAAGCATGCATCGCATTGAGTAGCCTCTTGAGTAGCATCGCAGTAGCCTCTCCCGCTTAAGTACATTTCCTTTGTATGGCACCATGTTGTTAGCAAGCAAGACACGGCATAAAAAATCTGATTTAATTCGGTACCTAGATATACCTTCATCTGAACACGACTTTTTAATTCTTTGATATGAACGCATGTTTTAAGCAGAATGCTTGATTACGTGTTGGGATTCATGCCAGTGCAAATCTTTGTAATTATACGGTCTCCCACGAGTTTTCACAAACATCTAATGACAACCTCGGCCAAACGCCCGTCGGCTCTGCTGCACCCAGTCACATTCCTGCGGAGACGGAGTCACGATGGAACCATTTGAAGATCATTGATCCCTCTTCTGGGCCCAGCTACCATCTGCCGCGCCTTAAGCCCACGTGGCATACGTCGCCCAGGGTCACGGCTCGGCGAGTCACGCATATTAGCACGTTCCATTCACAAGTCGGAAGCGAACCAGACTGGTTTTGAAATGTGCTGCTCACGCGTCCACGGGCGATGAAAAGAAGAAACGCTGGTGTGGCATCGCTGCAGGCACAACCGCTTTCAGTAGAATAACCTTGGAACGACGCTGACCTCAAGTCGAGCTGAACTGACCACTGCTACACTTGCCACGCCGAGCTCTCCACCCAGGCGCATGCGCTTACGTAAGCAGTACGAGGCAGCGGAAAAGCTCGGATGTGTCGCTGTGTAACCTTGCTGTGTCGCGTGGCGGAACACCACAGCATGTTACAAATCGACTAGATTTTACCCAACACCTAGTCGTTCCCACGTCTCAACGCAAGTGGCCTCCGATGGATCCAATCAGGTCAGCAGTGTGCATCGACCCCTGCCTCACCTGGTAACCGCGCGCCTCTGCCGCCAGGTGTACCCCGAGGGCACGATCCTGATGTCGGGCTTCAGCAAGTGGCTGAGCGCCGGCGGCTGGCGCCTCGGCTACGCCCACTACCCGCCCGGCCTGCAGCCGCTGCTGGCCGCCGTCCGCTCGGCCGGCTCCAACACGTTCAGCTGCGCGGCGGCGCCCGTCCAGTACGCGCTGGCCGCCGCCCTGCAGCCGGAGCAGGCCCCCGAGCTGCGACGATACGCTACTGACTGCGCCCGCCTCCTGGAAGCCGTCGGCTCCTTCTGCGCCAGGTGCGCGCGTGCGGCTGGCTTGGCGTGGTGTTGGGTTGCGATTGTCACGGAATGGTCAGCTGGCCGCTGCAGGTAACGCACCCAACGAGGGAAGGCTAGGCGTGTGGTGATCGTGAGGCGTTGCCATCCAAGACGCATCATGCATTACAGTAACCTCGGCGTTCATTGCCTAGATGCATGCTGGTGGGCGACAGACTAGCAAAGGCGTCGGAAGATGCCAGCTCGCATGAGCGCAGCGTTTGACGAGTTCGCTCGTACCGACCGCTGTCTTACGTTTGCGGTTCCGCAGAGAGCTGGCGCTCGTCGGTGTCAAAGGCACGCCAAGTCAGGCGGGCTACTACTTCATGCCTGACTTCGAGGTGTGCCGAGCCGGGCTAGCGGCCCGCGGCCTCTTCACCGGCCAGCAGATGGTGGACGCCATGCTCGAGGAGGCAGATGTCGCTGTGAGTCAGCTGCTTCACCTCCGTGTGTAGAGGGCGCCAGGAGTGAGCTACTTCGCCTCCGCGTGTAGAGGGCGCCAGGAGTGAGCTACTTCGCCTCCGTGTGTAGAGGGCGCCAGGGGTGAGCTACTTCGCCTCCGTGTGTAGAGGGCGCCAGAAGTGAGCTACTTCGCCTCCGTGTGTAGAGGGCGCCAGGAGTGCGCTACCTCGCCTCCGTGTGTAGAGGGCGCCAGGAGTGAGCTACTTCGCCTCCGTGTGTAGAGGGCGCCAGGAGTGAGCTACTTCGCCTCCGCGTGTAGAGGGCGCCAGGAGTAAGATATTTCGCCTCTGTGTGTGGAGAGCGCCAGGAGTGAGCTACTTCGTCTCCGTGTGTAGGGGGCGCCAGGAGTAAGCTGCTTGATCTCCGTGTGTAGAGGGCGCCAGGAGTAAGCTGCTTGATCTCCGTGTGTAGAGGGCGCCAGGAGAACGGTTTGCATTGCAGGCCGTGGTCAAACTTATTCATGAAATCAGGCTGGACGTTATAGCGCGTCCTTTGTTTTGATCCATCGTCGTCTTTTTCAACACATGTGCATGATGAGTTGAAGCGGAGCGCAGGTAGCTTTTCTTTCACGTGTCAACGGCCACATATTTTGGGAATTTGGGCGGTATATATCTAAACATGAGCGCAACTTTCCATGCCTGTTGGGTGTATTATGTAGCAGTAATGGACCACAGCCCCCAATGTTCCTGGCGAGGATTTTCAAAAAGCATCACCTCTGGACAGCAGCATTGAAAAGACTAACACATGATGCGTTCACATTTCACGTTTCTTATCACGCTTGGGTTTCCTTAGTTTTCTTTTTCAAAGTCGTAGGACTCGTGCATTTTTACCCCTTTTTCCTCGCTTGCATTTTGGGCGCGCAAGGTAAAGCATTGTTTATAATCATGCAAAAGGCGTGTCATTGGGACAAATGCCGGGCATTTAGTGTTGCTCACTAGTGGTGTAGCTGTCACCGAAACCCATTGTCACAGACTCAGGCCGTGTCATAGACATAAAAGCACCATGCAACCCCGGCCTTCTGTTCTACCCGACCTTCTTCTTCACCCCGACCTCCTGCTTCACCTGACCTTCTGCTCCACCTTGCAGTTGATGGCCAGCTCGTGTTTCCTGATGCCCGACTCGGCCCTAGTGACGCGTTTCTGCTTTGTCTGCTTCGACGGCGCGGCGGCGCTGGAGGCGGTCGCCGACGGACGGCCGGTAGACGAGGCGTTCATCGAGCGTCACTGCCCCGTACTGGTGGCCGGGGTGCGCCGCCTGCAGGCCTGGGTCAGACGCCACTCGGACGTGGTCGGAGGTGGTGCGGTCTGACGGCGTGGTAGAGGCTGTCAGCGCTGCGACTGAGACGGTGCAGAGGCCAGGGGCCTGCGACCGAGACGGCGCAGGGGTCAGGGGCAGTGGTGGGGAACCTCTCGCTGTGGTAGAGCACTTATCGCCGTGTTAGTGGCAGAGAGCTTGTGAAGGCAGGTACTATGTAGCAGAGTTTCTATGCGTGTCTTGGGTATTGTATATCAGAAGTGTTGGATAATACACTGTAGATGAAGAGAACTGCTTTGTATGAGTCTTCCAAAAATGACGTGACATATATCATTCATTACGGAGATACCTGCAAAGACACATGTTTGCTGTTCTCGACTAACGTGCCTTATTTGTTAATTCACTGCGCCAGAGCATTTTTGATATTTTTATGGGGAAAATAAGTATCAAAAGGGCATCGGCGATCGCCAAATATGTCTCACCATCCCATAAACTCCAAACTACCGGCAGGCCCTGTATTCAGTGTTTATGGAATTCGCTACAAGGTGGCAGCACTATCGGAGCCGGTGAAGTAGGTGGCGCTGGCGGAGAACGCTTTGCGCCGCCGCCCACTCCGCACCCGCTGCGCGTACGGCATTCCATGCAATCTGCAGTTTGTGACTATGACTACGGTAAAATTACATGGAAAGCACGTTGATTAAAAAGGGTGAATAGTATGCGAACGCTACCGGAGGATGTAGTATGCAGATGCAGATTTTATGCAGTATACCGCAAGCCACGGTCGTGGCTGATCAGCATTTTTATCCATGGATTTTGCGGCTGCTTCGAAATGCATGTTTTAAGGTCAAAATTAAGTTTTACCTAAAGGCACAGCTATGATTTCACGGTAGGCTAGCCGAAGTCTTTTGTATGGTTACTAGTGTTTTTCAAGGAGTGTCAGGTTCCCCGATGGCGAAATCAATTGGTCACATGGGTATTGTATGCACTTTACCTCCTCTAAAGTTTCTAGTATTCTCCATCCTTTGGAAGGGATGTTTGTTTCCCACCTCTCTTTTCTGGGTCGGGTACAGTGCTGTTCCTCTCCCGTATTCTCCGGGAGCAGTGTTGCTGCTTTTGATCCTTTCCGGGAGCAAGGTTGTTCGCCTCCTGTCATCTCCTGAAGCAGTTTGTGTTGTTTACCTCTCCTCATCACCGGGAGCAGCGTTATCACCTCTCCTGTCCGGGAGCAGCGTTAGTCACCGCTCCTGTCTAGGAACAACGTTATTCACCTCTCTTGACCGGGAGCAGCGTTATTCACCTCTCCTGACCGGGAGCAGCGTTATTCACCTCTCCTGACCGGGAGCAGCGTTATTCACCTCTCCTGTCTAGGAACAAAGTTTTTCACCTCTCTTGACCGGGGGCAGCGTTCTTCGCCGCTCTTGACCGGGAGCAGCGTTATTCACCTCTCTTGTCCGGTAACAACGTTATTCACTGCTCTCGACCTGGAGCGGCGTCATTCACCTCTCTTGACCGGGAGCAGCGTTATTCACCTCTATTGACCGGGAGCAGCGTTATTCACTTCTCTTGACCGGGAGCAGCGTTATTCACCTCTCTTGACCGGGAGCAGCGTTATTCACCTCTCTTGAACGGGAGCAGCGTTATTCGCCTCTCCTGTTCGAGAGCGGTGTTATTCACCTCTCTTGACCGGGAGCAGTGTTATTCATCTCCTTTGTTCGGGAGAAGTGTCATTCACCTCTCTTGTCCGCGAGCCGCGTTACGTGCCTGGTCCCCTTCTCCGGTAATGGTGGTGCTTAATTGTCCAGCTTGGTAACCCTGCCTGATTAGCGATTACCCGCATGCTCCCCTCGCTTCCCTTCATTCTGGCAGCGTTAGTGTGATGACGCTAATCAGCTGGTTCGTGCATGGATCCCAAGCACGGCCCAACCCATGACGACGTGACGCTGCCCAATCTGGCGGTGGTCGCACCGAACCAAATGTGAGCTAATTTCATTGGCTACCGTGCATGGCATGGCCGCCTGCCAGGCTTAACACCGGACGGGGTGCCGGATATTGCGCCTCGCTGAGCCTTAACCCGTGGTCTCGATTCGCCTTCTTATTGCCTCTCAGCTGTCCCGGTACCAAACAGTGCCTGCAATGCGGCCTGGAGCTTATGGCAGTGAGCACTGTCAGCATCAGGCAGCTCCGGGCGTCAGATAGGGACATGTTCCCTGGATCGGTTGTGGGAGAGGGTTGTGGCAGCTGCACGCACCTTTGGCAGTTGGCTACACGGCTCAGGACTTGACTGAATTTCCAGCTTGATTTAAACGTTATATAATTTCACTGAATCTTTCACGGTATAAATACATGTGCCAAACGTCGATTGAGCTAAATGTTTGAATGATGCATTCATATGTGCATCTCAGTGCTCAGTTTGCTAGTATTATGTGTATGTTATTATTATGACATGTTATGTGATACATAATAACATGATCACATATTTATTGAAATGTATCATCATGATTGTTATGATGTGATCAAATGTGCATCTTACTGTTCAAACAGTTTGCTAATATTACATGTGTTGTTGTGATTTATAATAGCACGATAATCACATATTCATTGAAATAGCACTAAAGCTATCAACGCTGCCTGAAGCCTGACCGCTTTGACAGCAAGCATGTTCGCCCGAAACTTCGATGCAAAGCACGTACGTTAATAAAGCAGCATCACCAAAGTGGCGCCGCCTGTCTCCATGCCGCCTCGGGTGCACAGAGCGGCGCCGGCGACTCGGCAGTGCCCGCGTCCGCCCTCCCCGTCCCACCTCTGCCCTCCTCGTGCCAGCAGCTCGTCACGTGCCGGCGCCGGGTCGGCTTACACCGGCCTGCCTCCCGGACACTCCTCAGCGCCGCCTCGGCCCCGTGGCGCTGGCCGCGGCACGTCCGCCAGCAGCGCAGGGACGCTCGTCCGCGGCCGGCACCGTGCAGCAGACGGCGCCGATCGGCCCCGCTGCGCGCTGGGCTACCTCGGCAGCGCCCGCTGACTCAGAGCGGACTGTGGCGCGGGAGCAGGCAGCGCTGTTGCCTGTGTTTTCCTGCACGCAATGAAGGCGCGTGCGCCCATCAAGCTCTGCGTAAATCGATGACCCTATATCATGCGTGTGTCGGACTCTGTGGACACGACTCCTGTGACTCGCCGTTTTTATTATTACTCCTGGCATTCATGTGCCCCCTCATATACGCGGCGCGTACACGTACAAGTAATCCCGATTCGGTGAGCATCTTCGTAGAAGTGTGCATGTGTAAACATGGCGCCTGAAGGTCCCACAACGCGCAAATCAGTCTGATGAGACCTGCGTTGTATGTGGGTGGGAGACCACAGCCTTCGGCAGCTCATGGTTGTGATCCCAATGAGCCCACCTAGCGCCAAATGTGGTTCACAGGATGACGGGGTCAAGGACGTGCCAATAAACCCGACAACGAGAGCTTCCTGTTTGTCAGAGCCGCAGCAGGTCTGGGTCTCTGACCGGCGGACGGACATAGGCAGTGCGTGCAGTATACTGTTTGTACGCATTGGGATGCGTGCGAGTGTAACGACCCTGCTCCGTATACGCTTGTTTTCGTTGGGCGGGTTATATGATCGGCTGTGGTCGCCAAGCGCGTGATCGCGTGTGATCGCCAAGTTCGTGAAGCGCGCTGCGTCTGTTGACACGCAAGCGGAAAAAGAAATATTCGCGCTGCGTGGCCATCGGAGCGTGACGCACAACAGCACGTAATCAGTGCAGCTTCGAAACGAATAAAACGCTTGTTTGGATAGCATGTAAGCAGGCCACAGGGAGGAGTTCGGTACGCCTGGTATTGCGCTGCTTACAACGTCCAGTCCCGCATGCAACTTTTCTAGGCCGAAAACCTGTTGAATCTATTCCAAACAAAAAGCGTAGGTAGCAAGGTGACTGAGTGTGAAAATAAGTTTGTTGACTGCCCATACTTTTTAGTAAGAAATAGTTATGCTTCACTCACCAAATGCTTTCTTCTTCATTTTTGGATCAAATGATTCCTGGGTTTGCCCTTTGATTGGTTTGACAAGAAAATGTGCGTTGTTTTTTTAATCCTTTGCTGACGCTAAAACTCAATTTGACAACGATTCACCCCAACACATACGCAAAAGAAGAAACCTGAATACCCTGTAAGAAATGCTTAGATGCCATAGCGTCAGGGAAAAGGTGGTCGGGTACATGTGTTTCTTACATTCAAGCAATAGATCACTGCAGGTCCTATCAGACTACCACAGTAAAAAACGTCAACATGTCTGGAATATATATATAAGCATATATATATATATATATATATATATATATATATATATATATATATATATATATATTTATATACAAACATCTGTATGTTTTGCTCGAAACGGTCCCAGCGTGGTAAACGAAAAGTTTGTGGCAATCCGTGATGTTCCAGCTGCATGCCGTTGCTACCTTAGTATGCCTGTGCTAAGTGCACGAAAGACGTCATCGAGCTGGGATGTTCAGCATCGGATCAAAAGGTTGCCGTGATATTTTTGGCATGCACCCGAGATAACAATGACGGATTGTACGTAATAGTGCACGATTTGAAGCATACTTGTTTGAGAGTTAAGGCAATAGATTTAATTTTACTAGTGGCCCTTGTTGGTCAAAATGACAGCCAACTAAATGCGCTTAAGCCCGTTGCACAATGGTATAACGTTTTTGGAACGCGGCCTGCATAGTTCAAAGACAGATATGTTGCATTCGTCATCATTCGCCTCACTTCGAGTGGAGAGGGCAGGTAAATAGCCCTTTGTATCCTGGCCTTAGCAACAGCCATGAACTCGACAAATGAAGGGTCGTGTTTCCTCGCACTGGCGGACAGCTAGCTCCCGAGAAGGCCTCTGCCGCTTCAGGCCTCCTTGGTGCCGCTCTCGGAAGTGGGGTTCAGTGCCCCGCCAAGGCGCACGGACCCGCGAAAATGAGCCGGCGGCGTCCGCCCGCGCCGAGCGCGCTCGCATTGAGTACCATTACGTCGCGATTCTGGGCAGCATTGGGCGGGAAT